AGGCGGCTGCTGATTGGCTCGCAGCACGCGGCGCGCCCTCTCCGTGACGGGGGTGGGAGGGGTGGTTCCAACAGTAGCCACCCGCCTGTAAATGGCGTCTGAGGGGCCAGGAGCGTGGGCGAGGGAGACAGAAAGCAGGCACCGGTCACTCCGGAACCGGCGTGAGCATCCCGGAAGCGGCACCCAAGGAAGACCGGCCCGAAGGAGGGAGAGGAGGAGGAGTTATCGCGGGGCCAATCTGAACTCAGGTCCCGCGAGCGCGCGCCCAATGGCGCATGCGCTGTGGGAAGTGGTTGGCCTCAGCGCGCCTGCTGTTTCCGGGAGGGCCGGCGGGAGGCGCGGCGGCTCCGCCTCCGTGCGCATGCGCGTCGGTGGGGGCTGGAGTGGGTGTGCAGAAAAGAGGAAGAGAGGGCGGCTCCGGAGATTGAGGTTCGAGTCCCGCCTCCTCGGTGGTTTTGGCGGGATGCGGTGGGTGGGGCGGCCGGGAGGAATTTCAGTCCCCTGGAGGAAAAGTATGTGCTGAGACAGAAATGAGTCCGATCTGGCATGTGCGCCGCAAGAGTGTGCTCCCATTCTGTGCAGGGAGACAGCTAGAGGTTCAAGGCACTTAGGCAAGGGTGCAGGACCGGTTGGACCTTGAAGGGAGGGCAAGGGCGTAAGGAACCCCGGGAGAAAGGTCCAGGCTGGCTTAGGCTCGGAGTTCCCCCAAGATGGGAGGTGAGGCAACAGGGATGGGCAGGTCGGAACCGTAAGGGGATCCAGAGAGAGGCGGAGTGCTGGGGACAGGACCCCTTATTAAATCCCACGGGGGCCTCGGAGGTAAGAGGGATCCAGTCAAGGGTCGAGAATTCAAAAGCCTAGCCCTGACCGGTTTGGCTCAGTGGCTAGAGCGTCGGCCTGGGGACTGAAGGGTCCCGGGTTCGATTCCGGTCAAAGGCATGTACCTTGGTTGCCGGCACATCCCCAGTAGGGGGTGTGCGGGAGGCAGCTGATAGATGTTTCTCTCTCATGGATGTTTCTAACTCTCTATCCCTCTCCCTTCCTCTCTGTAAAAAAATCAAAATATATTTAAAAGAAAAGGAAAATTCAGAAGCTGCAGGCAGAGCCCTGTGCTTGTGGAGAGCGCATGCGCAGTCCAAATTGGCCCTGTAAAAAAATCAATAAAATATATTTAAAAGAAAAGGAAAATTCAGAAGTTGCAGGCAGAGCCCTGTGCGTGTGGAGAGCGCATGCGCAGTCCAAATTGGACAGGGTGGTTGGTTCCCCAAGGGAATGAAAGGTTGTTCAAGAGAAGAAAGTGTGTATGGTATATTCATATGTAACATATATGATAGGTGAGTGGGGGGAGAAACCATTTTTCATTTGAAATCTTATTTTTAAGAAATTTAAAATTATTCTTGAACGGGGAACACGTACATTCTGACAAAATTCAAGCAGCCAGTGGGGTACACAATAAAAGTAAGTCTTCTGCTCTGGTATTCCATTCCTAAAGCACCGGTTCCCAGTTTCCATCTGGAGCTGCCGTTAGAGCAAAGCACTGTAGTTAAGAGCTTGAGCCTGGGTTCCCATATAAGGCTGCTGACCTTCGCCAAATTCCTGAACCTTCTCTGCCTTCTGTGTCCCCATGTCTACAATGGAGGTGACAGCAGCTCGTACAGTGTAATTGGCAGAGTTAAATGGGTGCAGGTGCCCAAAACAGTGCCTGGTGCATAGTCACTCTACTACTATATGCTTTCCTTATTTTGTGAAATACGATCATGATAGTGATTGATTCTGAGTCAGCCTCTCCCCTCTGAGCCTCAGCCCTGCTGCCATTTTCTCAGCATTGGTGTCTGGTGGAACAGGCTGCCTGAAAACACCCGTCACACAGACCGAGTTGAGAGTCCTGCTGTTTATGGATTCTCCAGGAGGTTGTGGGTGTGTAGGAGAGATACACATGACGGGCCATCTTCATCTTCTTTCTGTCAGGGTCCCTTTTTAGCATCCTCATCCAGTCATATCTGTTTTTCCTTATCTGAATGTCTCAACCCCAGCTCACCCTCCACGCCACTTTCACACCTGGCAACCCTAGAGGTGGATGTGACTTGAGGGAAAATAAGGAACCTGGCACTGACCATGGGCCCACTGTGTACCATGCTCTGTCTTATATACTAGTATATCACTACAACCTTTCCCCTCTCCCTTATTTAATAGATGCAGAAAATGAGTCTGAGAGAGAAGAAGGGCCTTACTGACGGACCAAAGCCAGGAAGCAGCAAGCTCATCTTACGCTGGGCAAACCAAATTTTTTTCTTTCCCTGGCACTGGGCAGGCTGCCTAGTGGTGAGTCAGTCAAGTACCCAAAGAGTGCTCGTATTCCGAACTTTTGATCTTACGAACGTTTGCTGTAATTTATGTCCTCGTATATCTGATCGCATGTACATGATAAGTATTATCAGTAGAATATCTTTTGTTTGAAGTAGAATTGCTGGGTCAAAGGACAGGTGTTTGGGGAATTTTGAGAGTCATTGCCAAATTACCTGTTCACTTCTTAATTTCTCTGTTCATTTTATTCATGCATATATTGAATGAATTATGGAACTCTAGTCATCTGCTGGACATGGCTGTAGTTTGGAAATCCTATAGTGAATAGGACAGAGCACCTGACCTTTGGGAGCAGATAGTCTAGTGGGGTAGGTGATGTCAGGTAAAAGATGCTTGGGAGAAAAGAAAACCAGGGTAAGGGAACTGAGATTGACAGGTGGTCAGGGAAGGCTGCTCCGAGGAGTGACTTTGGAGCAGAAGGTAAGGAAATGAGGCATATAAAGATGCTGAAGAGCAGGAAGCAGAAAGACCCGAGGAGGTGGAGTGGGCCTGGCTGTTTAAGGGTTGTCAGGGTGACCAGAGTGACGAGCAGAGCAAGGGGAAGAGGGGCAGGATTGTTTAGGGATGGGGGTACAGGGAGAAACTGGATTACATAGAACCTTGCAGACCACTGTCAGGGCTTTGGAATTAACTTCCAAGTGTACCAGAAAGCCACTGGAGGGCTGTGAGCAAGGACCAGTGTGGCGTGTATGTTTTGTAAAGATTTCTCTAGCAAACACTGAAAATTAATAATGGTGGTTGCCTGTGGAGGTGAGGGTTACAGACAGATGTGGATCAAGGGCTATGAGGAAGACTTGTGAAGACTTTTATGTTTTTGAACCATGTGATTATTATCTATTTTTTAAAAGTTAAATAAAAATGCTGGTTGCTTGGAGGAGAATGGCCTGCAGCTGGGCAGGGGTGGAAACAGGAGATGAGGAAGCTGATGTCCCTGCCTGGGCAAGAGATGATGGTGACTCAGGAAGAGGGTTGTGTGAGAGGAAGCATGAATCAGGGCTGACTTATAAGTTATCCTAAAGGTTTTGGAACTGGATGAAAAGTGATGCTTTTTATCAAGATGGGAAGTAGTCTTGATGGGAAATCAACAGCCTTTGAACTTCTTAACTTTGAGATGCACATTGGACAACAAGTAAGTGGTCACAGTTTGGGAGAGAAACCAGGATTTGTAGATTCAGAATTTTTACTGACTTTTTAAAAACACACACAAAGGTATTATGATAAAGAACACTCACATACCCATCACCGAGTATTGACAGTCATCTACATTTTACTTGTCTTTTTTCTTCCATTTCCCCCTCCCACATAAAAGCAAACTCTTTCCTGCAGTTTTTCTTTTAAAGCTGTTTATATAGAGATGATATTTAAAGCCCTGAGTTTTTCTGAAGCCATCGAGATTGAGGGGATAGAGAGACCAGGTCATCGGGCCTCCCACATTTGGGACAGGGAAAGGACCAGCATCCTAGAGAGGAAGCGGGAACATCAAAAGAGGTGATAACCTGGTGTCAAGGGGACAGAGGGTTCCATAGAGAAGGTGCTCCACTAGAGAGCAGAGATACAGGGCAGTAGCTGCAGGTGGATGTGGGGTCTACAATGAAAAAAACACAGCTTTTTATCCTTCCATCTAACTATGTTATGGAAACATCTCAATAGCGTAATACAGATTCTAGAAGAAGTTTATAAGTACTTACTTTTCTTTTACCTTTTTTCAGTGAGGTGTAACTTAAATGTAAAGTACATAAAGGCACAGACTTTAAGGGTATATAGGTCATTGGATTTTTTATAAATATATGTACTCATATAACCACTAACCTTTCCAAATACCCAGAAATTGCCCTGTGTGCATTTCCCTGCCCATGCCTCACTCCAGAAGCAACCACTGAGCTGATGCCAGTCACTCCAGATGAGTTGTGCCTGCTCTTGAACTTCATAGAAATGAAATCTTACAGCAGGTCTTCTGTGCGTCTGGCTTCTTTAGCTCTTTATGGCTGTGAAAGTCTTCCATGATGCATGTAATAGGATTTTGCTCCACCAGAACTGATTTCCTACTGGTTATTTTTCACGCTGGTTATTTTTACAATATCTAAAGTAAAGACTGAATTTCAAGTCCAGATGTTTTGCAGTTTGGTGAATACATAGTGAACTTTAAGGATCATGGAGGCTCTAAAGTGCTTAAAGCTATAGTGGGATGTTTTTAAGATGGGAGAAATCATGGCTTGTTCGTATGCTGATGGGAGTGATAGAGGAAGAGACTTAGGAACCGGCTCCTCAAAAAGGTGACGGGGTGCGACAGGGTGGAGAGAGGGGCTGGAATTGCAGTAGGGCCAGCTCATCCTGGTAAAAGAAAGGAAAGTCTTACTCTTTGACATCCCCTCCAAATTGTAAAAACCACTCCCGTGGTTTTTATATATTGGCAGCTATTCCACACAGCATAAAAGCTCAAAACAGGTCTTTGGACTTTCAATCTGATGTTGATGTATCTGGATGTTTATGGATCTGAATAAAGAACTGGACAAATACTGGTGATGGCTGTTCTAAGTGGGTGGGGCAAGGGGGAGAGGAGAACATTCTTTGCTTTAACTGGTGGGCAGTTAAGGCAGAGAATGTTTGGGAAGCAAGAGGAGCCGCATGGCAGAAGCAGGTGTGATACTGTGATTTACAATAAATATGTATTTGGTCTTCCTCCTGTTTCCCGCACAGAACCCTTCAGACCCTTGGCATTTTCCAAGATGAGAGTGATAAAGGTGCCTTGTTATGTTAATAAGGTGACTTTTGGAAAGCCCCTATGTAACCTAAGGACGGGGGCTGGTTGCCAGGAGACCCAACCATATGATTACAGTCTTGGGATTTTTAGTTCCACAATCCCTCTACCCCATCTCCTGGGAGGGAAGAGGGGCTAGAGGTCAAATCAATTGTTAAATGGCCAGTGACTTAATCAACTAAGTAATGAAGCCTGCATAAAAAATCAAAAGGCTGGGTTAAGAGAGCTTCCGGTAGGTTACTACGTGGAGATGCCAGGATAGGGGCATGCACAGAGTATGGAAGCTCCAGGCCCTCTCCCCTTACCCTGCCCTTTGCCTCTCTTCCATCCGGCTGTTCCTAGTTTACATCCTTTTATAATAAGCTGATGTTCTAGTAAGTAAAATGTTCCTGTAAGCCACTCTAGCAAATTAATGGAATCCAAGGGAGCAGGTTGTTGGAACCTCTGATCTATAGCCAGTCAGAAGCACAGGTGACAACCTGGACTTGAAATTGGTGGCTGAAGTGGGGGGGACAGTCTTGTGGGACTGAGCTCTTATCCTGTGGAATCTGACTCTATCTCCAAGTAGATAGTATCAGAATCCTATATAATAAAGAGCTAATATGCAAATGGTCATCACACCCTCACGCAGTCACGCTGTAAAGGCTCAGACACTCAACACTGGGGAGAGAGGAATGGGGACCAGCCAGGCACAAATGAGCTCATGAGAGAGGAATGGGGACCAGCCAGGCTGCAGCCTGGGAGAGGGACAAGCCGCCCGGCTCACGGTCCTGGGCGCCTGTGGCTGCAGCCAGCCCGGACAAAGCCAGCCCAGGTCCTGGGTGCCTGCGGCCTGCCCGAGGGAGGGAAGCCCAGGTCCCGGGTGCAGGGCGAGGCAGAAGCGGTTAGGGGCTATCAGACAGGCAGGCAGAGGGGGTAGGGGCAATCAGGCAGGCAGGCAGGCGAGTGGTTAGGAGTCAGTGGTCGGACATCCCCCGAGGGGTCCCGGATTGGAGAGAGTGCAGGCTGGGCTGAGGGACCCCCCTCCCCCGTGCATGAATTTCATGCACTGGGCCTCTAGTAGTATCATATTGTCAATGTAAGAAATGTCCAGATCTGTGGAGAATGGGTGTGAGTTTATTTGAGCCAAACTGACCATAATTGCTGGGAAACAAAATCTCAATTGGTTGAGGAAATGCTCCTGAGAATGGCAGTTTTGCAATATATTTTATACATTATAATCAAAGGAGGAGATGAAAGAAGGGTTACATGAAATTCATTGGTGGTAGATTAGGAAGGTGGGAAAAAGAAAGCAAAGCAAGGGGAAATTTCTGAGATTGCATAAAGAGTAAACTGGAGAGACAAACACTTCTTTTACATTGGTGGGTACAAGATAGTTAACAATTAACATTTATAGCACATAGAGATGGTATTCAGGGAACACGATTGCATGAAGGGTTTCTGGCTCTAGTGGGTGTTTGTGTCCTGAGGGGTCTAGAAAAAGAAGGATGATTTTGACATCCCAAAGGGATGTTATTGTAGATGCAAAAAGACAATAGACGGGCTCAGTTAAGGTAAAACTTGACCTTTGTCAAGGAAAATGCTGGCTTGGGATATGACTGCCCTCCATGACTCACTTTTAGTTAGGAAGTTCTTATTTCAACCATCCTATGTGGTTATTTTTGGATGCCATGCAGGCCTCCTCAGAGCTTGTCTGGTTTAGTGTATGACCCCTTTTCATCCATACTATTCAACAAAATCTCACTATGTTATTTATTCTTGTGAGACTCCCAGCTGGTGTCTGAGAATTGCTTGATGTGAGGAAACACCGTAAGTGGGAACTGGTTGCATGATAGTTAGCAGCCAGGAAGGGGGGATCTGAAGTGGGGGGCAGCATCTAAAGGGCCCCCCAGGCGAGGCCTGTGGGTGTGTTAACACAATGGAACACTATTCTGCAGTGCAAAAGAACGAGTGTACTGGGTGCATCTCACAGCCACTGGAGAACCCAAGAAGAAAATACCGAGGGTGGAGGAAGGTGTTGGCTGGGACAGGAGAGCTTTTAAGGGGCTGGAAACTCCTAGCTTAATCTGAGTAATGGCTACTCTGGTGAGTGCATTTGTAAAAATTCATTGAGACTGCACTTAAAATGTGTGTAGTTTATGTAAAATGGATCTTAATAAAAGGAAAAATGAGCTAGGCTTAGGAGCTTGACCAAGAGAGGGCAGGAGGGAGCCATGGAAGGTTTTTGAGCAAGGGCAGGGCCCAGTCAGGTCTGGGTATTATTAGGAAGGTCTTCAGGGGTGAGGGTGGGTCCATGGAAGGAGAGAGGCCAGAGCCTGGCGCCCACCTCAGCACCTGACTGGTTCTCTGATCCTGGTAAGCGTCCACTCCTCTCTGGACCCTCTTTTTCCACCCAGTCCTCTCGTGGGCGTACAGGCAGAACAGAAGTAGGAGAGGGAAGTAGCCAGAAATTACCCTGAGACTGAACCCCTCAAGGACAGAGCCCTCTGACTCATGCCTGCAGCCCCAGCCCGGCCAGGGCCTTCAGGAAGTGCTAGTTCTGTGAGAGGAGGGCAAGATCTGCCAGAGGTAGGTGGGGGCAGATCCCAGATAATGTAGAACTGGGATCTCTCACATGTTCTTAAGTTTCTTAGTCATAAAGCCCCTTCTAAACCAGTCCCTCCCTCGTCTCAGTGGAAGCCAACATGTGGTAGAAGGTGCGGGGCTTTGGGCCACATTAGAGATTGACTGCATATGAGACCCTGCACATGGCCTTGAAGGCACAATAGTGAACAAAAATGGAAACATGGTGTGATGATCTGAATAGACCAGTTGCCTAAGCACTGGGGCTCTGGAGCCAGGCTGCCTGGGTCAAATCCCGGCTCACCCACCTCTTTGCTGTGGTTTTGAGCAGGTTCCTTCATCTCCGTTTTCTCATCTGTAAAACGGGGCCAGCAGTACCCACTTTGCCTCCTTTTGTAGAGATTTGTAAGATGGGTTATACAAAGGGCTTAACGTGGTTCTTGGTCCAATAAATATTGTGAACAGGTTCATGGGGCTATGGGAGCTTCAGAGGGCTTCCTGGAGGCGGGGACATCTAAGCCAAGGCCTAAAGGAGGAGTAGAAAGGAGTTTGCCAGCTGAAGGGGTGCAGAGGGGGACGAAGAAAGAGTGGTCCCAGACTAATGAGTTTGGCAGGTTACCAGGCGACACCGTAAGTAGGGCTTCCTGAGGGGAGGCTGTTGGAAGTGTCTTCAGAGGTTCCATCTAGTTCCTGTCTCCTTTGCTCCCCAGGCGGGTTGGTCACGAGGAAGGGCAGTCGGGCAGTGGGTGGTGCAGGCCCCAGTTTAGCAGGGCTGAGGGGTGAGGCTGGCTGCGGACTTGGAGGGAAATCCAAAGATAGCTCAGCAGAGGAGGATGACTCGCAGCCCCTGCTTCCCCGCAACTCCAGGGAAGTGAGGATGAATCAGCCTCTCAAAGGGGAATGCAGCCACTGTAGGAAGTGAGACCTGGGTTCGAGCCCCAAGGCCACTCTGCCTCTGACTCATCTCCGCAGGGCACAGGGGGACAGGCTGCGTGTGAATCTGGACCCTGAAGCCCTGGTTCTCAGCTTCAGGACTGGCTCCACTGAAACCTGTTTCTGTATCTGTACAGTGGGGTGGGGTGGGATGGGCAGTGGTCTTGGTGATTTATAAAAGGGGAGCACAGAGCTGGGCGTACCGTGGGATCTCCGGAAGTGCCAGCCCCCTCCCTTTTCCTGTCTGAGTCCTAGCAGATATGAAATGAGTGTAGGGGGGTGGTTTAGGGTTCCTGCTAGTCTCCTGATGGGTGAGTTGTCATCTAGGTTCTAGAGGGGAAAAGGGCAGAAGAGAGAAAAGGGGCAGCCAAGCATTGTGTCTGAAAATCAATAGCAATAATAAAAGGATTGAATATCTCCTGTATTTGGTTCTCACTGAATTCCTCACCCTCTGTGCCATTCTGTTTTAACCGCAGCTCCATCGGGGGTGGCCCCATTTTACACGTGAGGTAAAATGTTCAGAGAGGTGGAACCATTTGCCCCCAGACACACAGCCAGTGGGTGGTGGAGCCAGGATCTGCCTGAATCCAAAGCCCTTGTTCTTAGTCTCAGATCTGGGTGGGGAGGTTGTTGAGGACTCCGCAGCCTACAGACCTGGGAGGGCACTTAGGAAAGGCCTGTTTTATAGATGGGGAAACTGAGGTCAGACAGGGCAGGGTAAGGGCCTTCCATTGGATGAGCTGCCTGTGTGAAGTGTGGATATGTTTAGAAAGAAACAGCAACTTCCGTCTTTGTTTAAAATTTATTACAAAGTATAAGAACAGAGACTGGTGAGCCCCTTCACCCCCTCCACCTCCTCTCCCACCATATTCTCTGCAACTCTAGAAAAATAGTGTCCTCCTGCTCTCCCACCAGGGGGCGCCACCTCCTGCCTTGTCCCAGCTTCAGGCCTGGCTCCTTCAGCTCTGCCGACCAGCGGTAACTGAGGCTCCCCAGGATCCTGGACTCTGGGCCGCAGCCGTCTCAGCCCCCAGGCACCTCCACTTCTGCAGAAGCTGGGGGTCAGCTGTAGCAGCACAGTGAGGATGTTTTTGTGGAGGGTATGTGGGGTAGTGGTGACCATTTTCCCATCTGGGGCCTCAGGGATGGGCCACGGCCTCCCTCCTACAGCCAGTGTCGCCTCCAGCAGCTTCAGTGAGTCAACCCACCCCAAGGTGGGGCCCCTTGAGTCCTTGCACTTGAGGTGTTTTAGTCATAGGGCTGGGTCAGGAGTGGAAGAGAGCATGTCCTTGACCTCAATCCTGGGGAAAGTAGCCCGGTTCTTCCTCCATGGATCCTGGGGAGACAAAGGGAGATGGATGGACAGGCAGACCAGACACCAGAGGAGGAGCAAGAGCGGGGACACGGAAGTGGAGACGGACAGAAAGCAGTGGGCAAAGGAGGAAATAAGAGGGTGGGTGTACCCGGCACCACGAGATGGGGAGCTGCCGGCATTTGGACGGAGCCGGAGAACGTGCCCAGGGACCGGCACAGAGAGAGACAGACAGATTCCAAGCAATAAAGGGGAGGGTATTGAGGGTCAGCACAAGGGAGAAATGTCTCCTTCCTCCACTGCCATCCAGTCCCAAACTCGGAGTCCTTTCTTCCCAGCACAGCCAGTGTTGTCTCAGGCCATCCCCTGCCCCCTTCACCATATGGGGTGCAGACCACAGACCCCTTTCCTCCAGAATGCTTTCCTGCCCGCGCCCCAGCCTCCTTACCAGCTATGTGGCCTCCTGGCTGGGTTCCGGGAGCTGCTTCAGGGCAGTGCTAAGCAGCTCCGTCAGGGTGTCCAGCTTCCCTGCCAGGGTGTCAATGCGCTTTTCCAGGGCCTGATGTGAGCTGCTCAGACCCAGCTGCAGGTCACACAGGATCATGTGCATCTGGGCAGAGAGAGGGTCGGAGGTATCAGAGGGCTGAGGTACAGCCTCCCTGTCCGGTGGGGAAGGCAGTGGAACCAACATGTAGTTACGGGCCCTCAAGGTTTATCCTCAGTTGTAACAGGTACAAAGTATTGACCTCTACCACACCCCCGCTACTTGGCAAAATCCTACAAGTCATGGGGAGTGAGAATCCTGTCCCCATATTTACAGCTGAGGAAACAGGCCTGGAGCAGTTAACTGACAGGCCCAAAGCAGCCCCTACAATAGGGCCTGGGATGTGGGAGGTACTCACTAATACTTGTGGGACTGATGAAGGCCTGCCTTCAAAATCACCCTTTCCCTGCCTTCTCAAACCAGGATTCACAGCGTCATCCTTGAGGGCATGTGAGCTTTCTATGAGAATTCTTTAACTCTGTGTTTTATGGCTCGATAATCTTAGGAAATTAGCGCCTGTCAGTTCTGGCAGATCTAGGCCACCACCTCCTCCCTGAGCCATGCAGCGTAGAGGCCTGTACCTGTGGCTGTGTTTACCATGGCAGGGGTGCCGAGGACCACTGTTTGAACTGTCACGGACTAATGAGGAAAAGCAAAGGCCACCGGATAAGCAAAAGACGCTGTGAGTCCAGCCAAGGGGTGTGACGTCCCCGCCCTGAGGGGCGAGCTGAGCGGCTTGGCCAGGCAGGGGAGGCACCCCGGGTCCTGGCCCCCTCTTCACAGGAGCAGCAGAGATTGAGTTTCACCGAGACAGTCACCCTTCCCCATGCCCGTGTTGTGCGTTTGCATTTTATTGGTTTTGCCATGTGTGTTTGGGCTTGGTTTGTAAATTTGCTTTGGTTTTATTATTGTGTAAGAGTCAGAAGTTGAAGGAATTTTATATCCGTTCACATGTAAGTAAGTTGACAATAAAAATAATTTAAAACCAAACACTGGAGTCCTTTGTGCCTTTTTTTTTAAGTTTAAAAGGGATCTCTCTATATAATGCATGACTTTTAGAATCTCGGTATTACATCATTCATTCATCCAACCACAAACCTTTATTGAGTGCCCGTGTGCCAGGCCCTGGCCAGGGTTCCTTCCCTATTCTGGGGCCAGATTTCCCCGCCCGTGGCCCCAGCCTCCCTCTCCGCTCCCACAGGATCCTGGTACCTTGGAGATGTCCACCATGGAGTTCACTTGTTCCCGGAGCTTTCGGTGTTTCAGCCGCACCTGGCGGAACCTGTGGGAAGAAGTAGGGGGTCAGTTTTCCCATCAGCCTGGTCCCCAGATGTGGCCCCAGCGCAGGGGAGGGGTGAGGGGAGGAGAGACCCACGCATATACAGTACAAAGAGGAAAAGTTGCTAGAGAGCTGAAGTGGGGGGCTGCACCCATGAGTCCACCTCCCTGGGAGAGACCCAGGTATGCAGATCCACAGACACCCCGAGATATGCAAAATCAGCCACCACAGACTCTCAGAGTCACTATGAGGTCCACGCTGATATCTGTTCAGTCACACACGGGTGCATGCGGTTGTACAGACACCCCGAGATATGCAAAATCAGCCACCACAGACAGAGTCACTATGAGGTCCAGGCTGATATCTGTTCAGTCACACACGGGTGCATGTGGTTGTACACACACACACACACACACACACACACACCAATCCCTTCCCCCCATGTGGGTGCACATGGGTGTGGGCACACACACATACACACACACAGCAGCCCTCACGTGTTGATAGCAGCCAGCAGCTTGCGCTGGTGCCTGCGGGCAGCTCCAGAGTCCTTCCTGCGTGTATGTTTGTAGAACATCCAGGCCTCTTGTAGCACTCGGGCCGCTGACTCCTTCATCTGGGGGAGGGTGGCACAGTGTCAGTGCAGACAGACCCCTTGGCTCTGGGAAGAGGGGCTGGGAGCCTGGGTCTGAGGGAGG